TGATGTTGGCGGCTTAAGTTGTAGGGTGGAGTTGGTAGTTTTTGTTGGGTTTGGAGATGATGGCCTGATGTGGGTGGTGCTGATCGCTAGTTGGTGGAGGCTATACTTCAATGATCTTCTATTGATTTTGGAGACAAAATAATCTCTAGTTAATTTAATAGATTTTTAAATGAGGCTTAACGAATGTGACATTTTCAATTAGTTGGGTACTTGTTTGAATATGTAAAAAAGTCGAGACCATAACACTAAAGGGTTGGGAAGTTTTAGATACTTAATCCAACTTTTTATAAATAAGATGAGGTTATTCCTATACAGAACATCACTACATAGAATGGTTTAACTGTATAATAATGGTATTCCAACTATAGACTTGATCACACTCGTATAGTTTGATAGCTTTTGTTGGTTGATTACAACCCTAATAGATAACCGAGTTATCTAGCATTCTCTATTCTTTGGACCATAAGGATGGGTAAATTGATTGTTGGAAATTACCGAAAAATGTCTTTTATCAGAATATCGAACCCAGGTAAAATGTCTTTTAACTACTTAGTGCTACGATATTTCATACTACTTATAAGTGAGACATCAAATTCAACTATTTTTTATGACGAGTTTAATACCACATTATTATGGATGACCCAGTATATGGATAGAGCCAAACCTCTCACTCTTTATTTATATATTTGTGGTATTAAAAAAAAAAGTTGCATAATACATGATTCTTATTGTTATAAATTATTAGTATCTGGTTGTCATATCCCGCCTCCACCGTAGCAAGATATTGTCCGCTTTGGGCCATGCCCTCACGGATTTGTTCTTGGGCTTCCACCCAAAATGCGTCATGCTGGGAAGAGAGGGGCATGTACATAGGCCAATGTAGGATACTACAATCCACCCCCCTTAGGGAGACCGATGTCCTCATCGACACATCCGAATCGACGGTGAGTTTGGCTCTGATACCAAATTGTCGCACCCCGACTCTGCTGTAGCACGATATTGTTCGCTTTGGGTCATGCCCTCATAGATTTGTTCCTAGGCAAGGGAACCTCACTACCCAAAACGTGTCATGCTAGGAAGAGAGAGGCATGTACATATATGGCCAGGGACAAACCCCAACCCCGCCGATGTGGGATACTACAATCCACCCCCCTTAAGGAGACTTGAAGGAAATATTTGTAAAAACTAGTTCATTTGAGCAACATCTATGCATGCTATTAACAATTAAAAGGTGGAATCATGCTTGTATGCACTCAAAAATAAAACTTTACCCATGAAATTCAAGGCCTAGTGAGTGTGGTGGACTAAGACTCAACTCAAGAACAAAGTGAGTTGAGAACTATTATACCTTTGTTGATTCTTCTTTGCATAAGCAAAGGCTAATCACCCAAGAGATAGGGCCTTCATTCCTTACTTCTTAGCTCCATGGATTTCTTGGATGAGGATGGAAGAATGGATTCTACAAATTCCCAAAAAATAGAGAACATCTAAGTCTCCACACCAAGGAGAGCATTGATGAAGAGATGAGTGACCTAGAGGAAGTAAGATTGCTAACTAATTTCCTCTAGGGTGGCCGGCCTCTTAGAGAGAAAATGAGAGCATTGTGTTTTCATCTTTTCTCCAAAAGAAACCCCTATTGATGAAATGTTATAAAGTTCTTTATATAGTCCCTTCAATTAAGTAACAAAAGAACCAAAACCCTTCATCCTTTAATGTGGTCGGCCTTAAGGGTTTATTGGGCTTTCAAGCCCCTTATATATTCAAGTTGTCATACAACTTGAGTTAGTGGGTTTGACATTCAAATCCCATTGGGCCTTGTGGCCTAAAACTAACCCGAGGTCTATAACGAACTTATTCATTTGATTAATTAACATATTAATTAATCCTAGCCATAAATAATTAAACTTATCTTCAATTTTCCCTTCAATTTTCCCATTGGGCCTTGTGGCCTAAAACTAACCCGAGGTCTACCGTACACGATGTACGATCCATTAGGTTCCTTTTAGCGAGGCAGTGGGCGATTAGAACTCTTCAAATCGATTGTGAATTGAAACTTATCTTCAATTTTCCCCTTAGTGATTACACACCTTTAGGGCTTCCACAAACCATGAGTGATACCTAATAGTATGTCATGGCTACCCAAGCTAATCAGAAGAGGTGGATAACCTATTCAGTTTAGGATTACAATGCAATACGGTCTTTCTATAATACAATACTCTTGACCACATTGTTTGGTTTGATAGTTTATTCATGTCTACTATCCAATGTGATTCTCTTACTTCTATGATTACCTTGAATGTGATTTGGAATGACTTCCTAAATCTCATTCATACTCTGGCCATACATTCTTAATCATATCATAGAGTATTCTCCCTCAAACGGTTTGAAGGTTAGAGATCCCTTGTTGCGCATTCACTTGCCTCCATGGCTAAGTGGCTTAACCCCAACTATGCCGTGGACGCCCTTTGATGGAGTGACTTTGACATAGTCAAAGATGAAAGACCTAACCATAAGACAACTATGATGCCTCAGGTCAAAGGACTACTTTGCATATCCCAACCATGAGTTCTCATGTGACATGAGTATGAGAACTCTTTGTTGATCGTGTTCAGTGGACTCATTCTCTATTGAGCACCTACATGCTTATCTTGGTGTCAGTCACACCAATGTCTCGAGACCAGTCACTCTTCCTAAGAGAAGACATAGCACGTACCGATCTTAACAGACTGTCAATGCCCAATTGGCAATCCTATGATCAGGAATGTTTAGGATATGTATACGAAAGAGAATGGTCTCATGAATCTAACTTCTTTAGATCACATTCTCCCAATTACATATTCCTTGGACTTATCTTTAAGCATATAACATTTATATGAGATAGCTTCAAACAATAATCTTTGCCCTTTATATTAACTAGATTACTTTAACATGTGAAATGTCCGTAAAGTATCATCATATGATTGGTTTTAGGGAACATTTCCAACAAGGCCGACGTCCTTGTCGGCACATTCGAATGGACAGTGAGTCTGGCTCTGATACCAAATTGTCACATCTCGTCTCCGCCGTAGCAAGATATTGTCCGCTTTGGGCCACACCCTCATGGATTTGTTCTTGGGCTTCCACCCAAAATGCATCATACTAGGAAGAGAGGGGCATGTACATATAAGGTTAGGGACTAACCCCCACCCTGATGATGTGGGATACTACAATCCACCACCCTTAGGGAGATCGATGTCCTTGTCGGCACATCCGAATGGATGGTGAGTCTTGCTCTGATACCAAATTGTCACATCCCGCCTCCGCCGTAGCAAGATATTGTCTGCTTTGGGCCATCAGCTTTATACCAAATTCTTTGACTGTAAACTTTGATTAAATTGGTACTCCTCTTGGGAGACATGATCTCAGTGGACGAGATTCTTTTCTTTTCCCCCAAAAAGGTAGTAGCAGAAGAAAGTTGGAATTCTTACAAGGTGTTGTGAAATTCGAGACAATCTTTGGTCTTGTCGACCTTATTGACAAATTGTTATTGATTTTTCGACTATAGTGTTTTTCCTCACTTATTGACCGAGGAAAATTAGTTTGGTTTGGGATATTGATTATGAATAACGTTTCTGACAACTGAACTATTGTCTCACCTTATCTTTGCTTTACACCTTCTGATGACCTTGATGATTTTAGAAATCAATGATGATGTGTTCTTTGGATGTTTTGACTGTGTTGAGGCAACATGACAGAGAATCGCTTAGGTTTTCGAGCGTTTAGAACTGTTCGAAATAAACCATCTTATTCATGACCTAAAGTGGACAATATTGTGCTATGGTGGAGTCGGGATGCGACACTTGGAATGTTTAAAAAGGTTGAGACTAATTTGAAATGATAATAAAAATTTTGAGGGGTTTTTGGTACTTAAGACGCTAAAAGGTTAAGGGTTTTTTGGTACTTAATTCTAAAAAGTTTTCGGCCCTAACTTGGGCTAGTTATATATAGAAATACTCCATATTTAAATAATAAAGGTATTACGTTACAATTCATTTAGGTCTCGTATTAAAAAAGTTACCTCCACATAATAATAAGTGTCAATAGTTTTTCGAAAATATGTAATGTCATAAATAGAAATTTAAGATGAATAAATTATTTCTCTAAATTTGTTTGGGATAATAAATTATTGTATAGAGTTAATTTATTATTTCTTTAAATTTGTCAGTTAAATGATTGGAGTCACAGAGAGGTCACATCTATTTTGGATAGAGAAGATTTGATCTCATGTCCTTGAGCTTGGAAGTATGTAGTAATTCATCTACACATGGAAATCATGTTGTTGGAGCTAAAATGTTTTTAGTTTTACAAGCATGTTTCCTCGTTTTACAAGCATGTTCCACTACTAATGTAGTTCTTTGTATTCATATTCTATACAACTTTTATTAAGGGTAATTAATTGAAAAAATAATTTTCTTAGCTAAACCTCTATTAAGTAATAACCTCCCTATAATAGTAAAATTAGTTTGATCCTAACATTATTACTACTTAGAGGTTTTACTGTATATCATTGGTCCTTCATGCCTTTACGGTTTACCTTTATTTTTTTTTTGTATTTTGTCAAATGATAGAAACTCATCCCTTTATAGGTCTAATTAATTGAGATTTTGGAAGATTTTAAAACAGTTATTAATCCATGGAGTTTGATGGAGTTTTATTGAAGTTTCCTAGACTTCATTTGCATTCTTTCATAATGATTTTCTGAAGCCTAAAATACACTATAAAATCCCTCCAAATTCTTAATTTTTTAAAATATTTTAAAATTAAATCCTAATTGAATCCACATGGAGTTTTATGAAACACTTTCAGATCTTTGATTGACTACCCATGGAATTTCATGGATTCATTTAGAATCTTGATTACCCTTGTATTTGTAAACTCTTTAAAACCTTTTGATCTCCTAGTTGAATACATTAATTTAGATAAGTAGAATATTGCATGAAAAAAAATGAAAAATACACACGTCAAAATCTCAAGAGATCTAATTTTATTAGATAACCTCAACATTAAAAGAGAAATATGTTAAACATGAAATAAAGAGGTACAGATAGCCCGGTGCATAGAAAGAACACGTCCCTTTCGAGCAGCCAACCATAATCCCCAATAACTAATGGGTTTATTATTAAGGCATTGAAAAGTAAAGGATAGTGCATAATTAAGGAAAATATCGGTTTGAATGTTGAATCACGCGGATGATATACCAATCCAAGGTGATCTCTCTTGCAGAATTTGAAGACCCATATACCTGCCCAAAGCACAAAAGTTGAAAGGAATGAAAAAGAGCAACATGGCATAGATTTCTTTACAAGCAATTCATACAAGCAAATAAGTTTTGAAAAATTCAAGTTATTTTGCGAGTATATATCACATACCTGCCTAACATCAGATAGAAGCCCATAGGGTGGCTCGCCGGTGTGACAGGGAATGTGGAAGAATCAACAACGCGTAATGCATCGATCCCACTAACACGCAAACCACCGTCAACCACCTTTCCAACAATGCATCCACCGTGGTAATGCCAATATGAGGCCAGTGAATCATGACAAAATGTTTCGAGTGCATCATCTGTTTGGTTATTTGGAAAAGGAACTCCTAAAAAGGTGAAGCCTTCTACACCTGGCAAATCTTCGGTTTTATATGGTTTAAATGCATCGGTCCTTAATAAATCACTGAACTGTTTCATGCCGCTAACACAATGAGCAAGGTCTGTGGCATTGGAATAGTAATTGAATACAACGTTTGGGCCAACAGTCACATCATTAGATGAATTTAGCGTGAGAGAACCATGAGATAAAGGTCCTGGAACTTTGTTAGGAATGTGAAGGAAAGTCGAATTTGGTAGGGGGTAAGACTGACTAGGGAAAAAACTGTAGGGTGGAACAGTAAGTGGCCCACCCGAGATAGAACATTGCCAGAAATTGTTTCTAATGCCCAGAGCTGTTACAATTGAGGCTTCAACTGGATTTGGGGGCAAAATGTTTATGAAATTACGAGGATTGTCGTACAGAAAATGACCAACGTAAGGATGGTCAATAACAACTGGGATTCCAAGCGATGATAAGTAGGACTCCGGGCCAACACCACTAAGTAGTAGAAGTTGAGGAGTCCCCATTGTCCCTGCACTCAATATAACTTCTCCTTGATTGCGTACGTATGACCGATGAGAAATCCCATTAGAATCCTTAAATATGACTCCTCTTGCTGACAAATCTGCATTATAAAATGGGAATTGTTATTCGCACTCCAAAAATCTCATTTTGCACTCCAAACTTTCTAAAATTAGGAAGAAAATTAAACTTATGAGAAGTGTAGAATGAGATTTTTGGAGTGCTAATAATAGTTCCCTATAAAATAGCTTATAGTTAACATCAAACAAAAATAACAAAAATAGGGTAGCTTTATTACCATTTCCAGTATTTGGATTTACCTTCATTCCATTGATGGTTTAAAATAATTAATTATTAATTTAAAGTGCAGTATGAGACGGAGAAACTAGGATGCTTTAGATAACTTAGATGCAAACGTACTTGATTCAAAAGTAGAAGAGATGAGGATCTTCTCTACGTTGGCATGAACCGCAACTCGCAAGTTGTCTAGGTCTCCTTTGTTAAGTAGTTCATCAGCTGCATGTCTCGTTCCATTATTGTCAAAAGTTGAGCCCGTGATTCTAGTTCCCAGTACGTGATCCAAACTGAATCCATTGTCTGGTAAAACACCAGCCTCCAAAAATGCTTGTTGTGTAATAGTTTGCCAAGCGAATGCATTTGGCTTGTACACAATAGTGTCTTCGATCCACTCATATGTTGCATTAACCAAATCCATGTTCCATTCAACTCCTGATTGACTAAAGAATGAAATGTTAGCTCTTGCGTAAACGCCAGCATTGATTATGCTCGTGCCGCCGAGGATCCTTCCTCTAACAGTAGGAATACCATCTTCTGACATGACCCTTTGAACTGGTGTCTCTCCATCATCTTCTTGCTGGAGATTATAAATAAACCCATCTTGAGTCAAGACATTCGGATATGATGCAGGAAAACTTCCCCTTTCTAAAACGAGCACCGAATAGTTCAATGATAAAGTTGCTGCCAATGGACACCCTGCGGTACCCCCTCCAACTACGATGTAGTCATATACTTCTTCTTGTGGAAGATCAGTGGCATTAACCACAGATTTTGAGTAGCTAAAATCTGAAAAATGTAAAAGAGAATTTTCTTAAGTACAAAGGAAGAATAATGGTTTCAGAAGTTTATCATATGTAGCACATCTACTTTGCAGTCATCTTTATGTTTTTTTATTTTTTTTTATTTACATATATAGTTTACCATGCTCAGAAGGAGTGGCCAACGATTGAACCTCTGATTGAAGATGGACACAAAGTTGCAACACCAATAGCACACGAAACACCATTGATTTCACCATTTTTGAATCCTGGAAGGTGAACGTACTCCCCTGAAAATTCAAAACACTTGTATGGTTTCATCTAGAGATAATCATTTTGTTTGTCCATACTCATTAGAGAATAACAACAAAAGGGTCATTAATTTACAAATTTTGAAGTTCTTCTAATGTTTGGAAGTTAGTAAAATAAACGATAACTGCACATATATTATAAACGGTAAGAAACTTTACGGACGAGATATTGAGTCTAGAATTTCTTTTTCAGATGTGCTTCTAGGATTTTGTTAATAAACTTCTCCCATGCAGGATACAAAGATGGACTTTGTATGGAAGCAGCACTTGTATCCTCAAGAAAAAAACAAGCTCAAACTTCTCTCAATAACTCTCCGTAATCTTGAAACCGAATGCTACTGAATGGCGAGTATTGCGTGCAGTGAGCATCGCTCTTTATAGACGGTGAAGGCATCTATATACAAAGAAAGGTCATAACTTGAGAAAAGGAAAGGACCTTTGTAAAGGACATGACTGGCTCACGTGGCACTTTTCTGGCGCCAACTCAACGACGGAATGCGAACGTGTTGCTATGTTCCATATATAAAACTAGAAAAATCTTAACTCTAGTATTAAACCTATTGAAACATGAGCCTCTGACAAATCGTGCACGATATATAAAACTAGAAAAATCTTAACTCTTGTAGTAACCCTATTGAAACATGAGCCTCTCACAAATCCTGCACAAAGATCACATGAAATTTTTTTATTTGGGTTTCAAATGCGCACCTGATGTGGTATAAACTAACAAACAAATTAAACTTTCTTTTTGACAATTGTAGTATGGATAAATAGGGATCGTTCTAGGCCGAGGATTATGAGGGACTACTAATCAACTCAAATTAGACTCAATTATACTTAACAAGACTTAAAAACACTAAACTAGACTCTTATGACTCAACATTGACTCAAAATACTCAAAACATCACAAAACAAGCAAACTGACTCAAAACTAACACTAAGGATGACTTTGGACGAAATTGGAACTAAAAAGACTCAAAACATTAAAAAGACACCAATTGGATAGATTCTAACCTAAAAACATGAAATAGAAAGGGGGGTTGGTGTTTGGACGAATTTAAGACTTAAACTAAATACTTGCAGAAATTAACTAAATGTAATACGAATTTAGGGTGTTTTAAGAGGTGAATGGCTAGCTAGAGGGTCATTCTCCACACATGACATATATGCATACAAATCGATTTCCAGTTATTCTTCCTATAAACCATGAATGATAATGCCCCAAGTTAACCGTGAACAGCACTAATTAACCATCGGATTTTCCTAAATTCATTGAATTGGACATCGCATCGCAACCAAATTATTCTTATCAAGTTCCCTACACGAAAAACATGATAAGGACACACATCAAAGATCATTAAGCTCTATGAAAATCATAAGCATTGACAAGGCATTCGTAACTATGAACAACATGATACTCCTGCCAGGAATTTACTTAACACGATCGTGACTAGCAACCTCCACTACTTGCAAATATAAGTTCGAAACTATTAGGTGAAACTCCCTTATATTTTAGCATCAAATCCCTGCATGCAAACTAAGTGTGCACCCTTAACCCACATGCAAGAATAAGTTATCAATCAAGCAGTTAAGCAAATTACATTCATGATTTATGGAATCATAACTGCATGTAATCAATTCATATCACATATATGTTCATGGCTTTGAATTTACCTCTAACTAAAACGAAATTAGTTCCTCATGTTCGCAATTAAACAAAGACAATTAAATTTAAACATTGAAAACAAAGATAGAATACACCTAGAAACACTCCAACAATCCAATGTCTTGAATGGCAAGCATGGCTCCAAGTGGCTTCTTTTTCTCCTTCCTTGCACAGCTACGGCACAATGGGGATTTTCTGAGTTTATGGCTCTTATGTGTGTGGTTTTATGGTGAAAGATGGGTGAGTTGTGAGTGCTCCGACACTATGTATTTATAGGGAGAGGGGAATGCACGGCTAAGGCTGAAAAAGAGAGGAATTAGGACTCCAAATTAGCAAGGAATAAGGACACTTCTCATCAGATTCCAGGGAGGACAAGGAGTAGTCTTTGCATCAAGAAATAGAGCTTCTAGAAGGGCTAGGTGTGGCACCAATTTAGGGATAGGGTCTTGGCTTCTAGAAACCTAATTTGTAGGTATCTTAATCCGAAAATAAGTCCCCCTTGCAGCTGGAATTTAGGTAGATTAGGATTAGGATAGGATAAGATAAGATAAGGTTAGTTTGGATAAGATAAGGTTGGATAAAGTTTTGGATAATGTTTCTTCTTTTTAGCTGATTCCTTATCTTCTTTGTCTTGAATTTATTTTCTTCATCTTTTCAGCATATTCCTAGCCTGTCGAACTTCAAAAACGTCCATCCACCTTGCTCCATGCATGTGCTATCCATTCTTGGCCCAAAACTGCTCCAAAATGCTCTAAATTGCACTTTCTTGCCAACTTTGTCATTTGAACCTGAAAACATATGAAAATAGCTTAAAACATTATAATAAGTAGAAACTAGCTATGAAAATGCAAGAAAACAAGCTAACTAAATCGCATAAACATGCTCCTATCAAATTCCCCCACACTTAGCTTTTGCTAGTCCTCGAGCAAAACAAAAGAAACAAAATATAACAAAACATAACCTAGACCTTCCAACATTTGCCTCAGGGATTTCTAATGAAACATAACACATTAAAAATCACTACTCACTGAAATTTTAGGGTAAATTACAAAAAACTACCTCAACTATTGATGTCACAACACTTTCATACCTCATCTTTTAAAATTGATAATGTCATACCTTATCTTACGAATTTGTGCCAATGTCATACCTCCATCAATTTTTCTGTTAATTTCTCAGTTAATTGCTAATGTGGCTTGATCCGGGGCCCATTTTCGATTAAAAAATTATTAAAAACTCAAAAAAATCATTTAATATTTTTTAAATATTAAAATAATAAAGAAAAGTAAAAAAAAAAAAAAAACAAAAAAACCAACAATCAATTCATTCCCTTCCCCCCTTCTCTCTCTTCTCCCCATCTTCTTCTTCCCCCTTCCTGCAACTTCAACCCAGAAAAAAAAAGGGGAAAAAAAAAAATCCAATTTGTCTTCCCCACTCCCCACCCCCTCTTCTCCCCGCACCCACTCTCCGCACCCAACCTCGCACCCATTACCTGCAACCCAAAAAAAAAACCCAGATCTCGTTGAGAACTTGGGCGTGGAGAAAATGGAGGGAATGGATGTGGAGGGAAAAGGGTGGGTACGCGGGGGTGATGGACGAACTGGTATCTTTCTTTATTTTTTTGTTTTTCGTTCTCTCTCTTTTTCTTCTTCTTCTGCAGGTTGAGGGGGGGGCGAGGCACCTTTTTTTTTTCTTTTCCTTCTCTCTCTTTTTCTTCTGCAGGTTGGGTGGGGGGGTTTTCTTTTTTTTTTCTGGGTTGCAGCAGGTAGGAAGAAGAGGAAGGGAGATGAAGAATGGGGAGAAGAAGAGAGGGCGGGGGGGGGGGGAGTTTTGTTTGTTTTTCATTTTTTATTTATTTATTTTTTTTATTTTCTGTGTGGGTTGCAGCAAATTAGGGGAAGAAGAGGAAGGAAAAAGAAGATGGGGGAGAAAAGAGAGGGCGCCTGGGGGGTAAGGGACAAATTTTGTTTTGTTTTTTATTTTTTTTCCTTTCTTTTTTCTGGGTTGCAGTAGGTAGGAAGAAGATGAAGCGAGATGAAGATGGGGGAGAAGAGAAAGGGCGGGGGGAAGTTTTGTTTGTTTTTTTTATGTTTTTTTTTGTTTGTTTTTAATAACCTTTGTGGAGCCAAAAATATTCACTAGGCGACACGTGGACTTTTGGACAAAAGAGGAGAAAAATACTCTCGAGGCATACCGGGTTTCCTACACGCGAGCAGTAGAGAATCATTTTTTCAACCAAGTCAAAAGTGCCCAAAATAGGTATCAACTTAAAACCTAATTTATTCATATATTTCCCATTTCATTAATTAGCTAATCAATTAGCTAAATAATATACTTATTCCTTTCATATTTCATAAAATCATAATAATTGACTAATTAAGGGATTAATTACCTAATCAATCCCTTAATTGTCAATTTGAAACATCCACTCAAACCTAAAAACACAAGAGGGTCGGCTATCCCATTGAAAAACCTAATCCATTACCTTTTTTCTACCTTTTCCCACCATTTCTTCCTTTTTATTAGCCAATTATACAAAAAACCACCAAAACATTCATTTTATGTTTAATAGCCAAATAAATTGGCTAATTAAACCTAAAAACCCTAGCCACCTCCTATCCCTATAAATATACTCTCATTCTCACCAAAAAGCTAATTCCAACACTTTGGCAAAAATCCCAAAATTCTCTAAACACTCTTTCTCTCTAAATTCTAACTTTGGCATCGGAGGTTCTTCGGCCAAAGCCCCCCCCATTCATCGTGGGCGCGTGAGGCTCTTGGCCTTAACCTAAGGTGTTAATTGTTTTTGTAGGTGCAAAATCGTCCAAGATCGAGGAGGAAGAAATTTGCATCCACAAATTGGTGCTTTCATTGAGAGTTGAAATCCATACTCATAGAAGACTCTCGCACAAAAAAGGTTTTTTCTTTATTTTCTAGTCCATTTGAATATTTTTCATACGTTCTTATTATTAGAAATTTTTTACTTGCAAAGGTTCTTTGATAAAACGTATAAGCAAAAATATAATGGCTAGAAATTTAGAAAATTCCACAAGTGAAAATTCTAATGTTCAAGAAATGTGATTGCGGAGATCCGTGAGGCTAAATGCGACAATAAGGGGAACGGCATCATCATCACGAGCTTCCACCATGGGAACCACCGTGGTGGCTACTTCGGTAGCTACCCGCGGCGAGGTCCATGGTGCCTTCACCACGGCCACCATGGGAACCACCGCGGTGGCTACTTCGGTAGCCACTCGTGGCGAGGTCCATGGAGCCTTCACCACGACCCGGAGATCCGTAAGGCAAAATGCGACAATAAGGGGAGCGGCATCATCACCACGAGCTTCCACCATGGGAACCACCGTGGTGGCTACCTCGGTAGCCACCCACGGCGAGGTCCATGATGCCTTCACCACGGCCACCATGGGAACCACCACGATGGCTACTTCGGTAGCCACTCGTGGCGAGGTCCATGGAGCCTTCACCACGGCCCGAGCCGTGCCATCCAAGGCTCACGGTACCAAGACCACGATCCAAGCCGTGCCATCCAAGTTCACGTGGACCCAAGCCCAAGCCTCGCATTCACATGCACCGTGCATTGAGCAGCCTGCTTCCGTGATCCAGCCTGCTCCCGTCGAGCAACCCACTCCCGTGGCCCAACCTGCTCCTGCCAAGCAGC